CAGAAGATCAAGAAATTGACCTCTCTTAAACAGGCCCAAATTTCACAATAAATTTTAGAATTAAAGTATTATAACTCAAATTTTGATAATTAAAATGGCAATCAATTTTTAAGCTAATATTTTTTTATGTGTGCATATTTAATAAAAATAGCCAATAGGTTGTGCAAATGGCAATATATATATATATATTTTTTTAATATTTCTATTGAGAAATCGAAAAATAACTACAGTCAAAAGTCGTTAATCCGAACTCGTCAGGACTTTGGCGATTCAGGATTATCGATTTTCCCGGATTATAGATCATCATTTAAATCTCGTAAGTGCATGCAGAAATTCTAAAAAAATTGAACCGTAATTTATGAAATAAAGAACAATTAGATCTAAAGGGTATCAAAATTTACAAAAAAAAAAAAAAAAAAAAAAAAACTTCATATTTATTGTTTACTACTTATTAAACATTTCTTTCAAGGTAAGTTGGTTTAAGTTGCTCTTCGTTTTATTATAATACTTTCTCTTAATTCTATAAACAGACATAATTTCTTGTTTTCAGTTACAAAGCCGGTTCAAGTCCCTTAATTGCTGTGCGAGAATACCGACTAACTTGTCATCGAAATTTTTTCGTTTTTCACTAACCCTCTGTCACAATTCTTCATGTCTTTCCATTTTGCAGCAATTCCACTTTTGTTTTGATGGACATCGAAACATACTTTCGGTTGTACGATCCTTTGGGAGCTCCAGATCGGAAATTCTATTTGACATATAATCGAAAGTTCAGTTTACTTTATGTATTGCTCTTACAGTCGCAAAAATAATAAGCCGGATCCAATTCGAAATTAAGGAACAAAGCAATCATCAACATTAACTGAAATAGATAATAGAATTTTAGCTTATACATCAGTTATAATAAACTCGCACACACAACATATCTGCGCATGCGCACACGCATATGTGCAGTCGTAAAAGGCCTTATGTACACGCGTAAATGCCTATGCGCATGTGTCAACGTGGCGCATGTGCAGAAAGTTTTTAGCTTTGAGGTCCGGATTATAGATCATTCCAGATTATGGGTGTCCAAATGAACGACTTTTGACTGTATTGTTAAATGTGGTAATGATACTAAAGTTTTTCAGTTTTTATTTAGATGGTTTGCGTTATTCAAAAGGTTGAAAACTGCTGGACTAGAGTATACACTGATGGCTCTAAAATACAATACAACACTGGGGCTGATGTATACAGTAAACTTTTTTCCTGATGCACTTCATGTTGAATTTTGTTGCAGAGATCCTTGCAGTCTCACTGGCTCTGGAAAACCTCATGATAAAGATTGATTGTTTCTCCAAAGCAGTTATTCTAGTTGATTCCAAATCATCCATCCAAGCTGTAGTTATAAATCTTGACACAGATATCCAGATTATCTCAGCAATAAGACAAATCTTGAACTTTCTTTATAAACACAACAAAACAACCGTTTTTCAATGGATCCCTTCACATGTAGGTATCGATGGTAACAAAAAGGCCAAGAGAGGAACACTTGTGCCACAAGACAGCAAACCACTTACTCCACAGTCACTTAACCCTTTGAGGGGCGGTATGTAAAATAATTTAAATTGTGGTAAAATTTTGCATGAATTATAACTTATGGACACAAAATTCAGACTTAAAAAAAAATAGAGCGAAATCCTGAATTTTGAGAGCCTGTATATATTTTATACTGGTGCCCCTCTAAGACATTTTTTTCCAGGTAGCTTCCAGTTGTTAATTTTTGTTTTTAAAATTAATTTTGTGTACTTTTGATGTGGGTCAGTTGTGTGCTTGAATATAGTTTTATAAGTCTGAAGACAAAAACTTTTATAAAATTTCGCTAGAAATTTAAAAATGTATGTTTTTATGCACTTTGATGATGCAAACCAGCTGAACATACTTATATAAAATATGGGTAAAAAGCTTTTAAACTTGATTTAAATTCAATATTATTATTTTATGAAAAAATGTAGCAAATATAACACTGCATGCATAAACCATATCATGCTGTAACTGAACTAGTATAATATTACAAGGAAATGTAACTGCCGAAAAATAAAAAAAATGAAAAATGAAACACTACGACTCAGCTAAGAAAGCATGTTGCATTTTTGAAGTTATATTTTATGCTTTAGATAATCTTTAAAAAAAGACCACGCTATGATACCAAGAATCGCGCCCCCCCCATACATACTTTAGATTATCGAAGACCGTAAGGGCCCCTTTTTTATTTTTTTTGTAAATATAGGTTGTAATACGAACAAAAACTCGTATATGTTTTTGTTCAGGAAGAAACACCGTTAAACAATTTTATTATTTGATACACCTCAAAGCTCTTATTTTGATTTTAAACCCCTTTGGCCTCCTAGGATTTTAAACTCCTTTCACCAACTGTGAAAATTTATTTTGAAAACAGCCTATTTGTATCCTAACTCAGAGGCAGTGGCGTAGCTAGGGTGGGGCAAAGGGAGACATCTGTCCCCGAGCGCAGCTTTGCAAGGGGGGCCAAATTGATGCTACGAAATTTTTTAATGAAATGTTTTTCATTCTTGGTACACAGAAATAGGAGCAAAGTCTTCATTTGTCCCCGGGTGCAGAAAACTCTAGCTACGCCCCTGCTCAGAGGGCAGATTTCCCTTGCGTTCTCTAGTCTTTCATCTGAACTTAACAAAGTCAATACCCTAAAGAATAAAAGCATGCTTTCAAATCAGCAGTTTTTGTGATTACACTAAGAGATGGACCTTAAGGGCATTTCCATTTCCCGTACTTCTAAGTGAGCTTTCCCTTTGTTGATCTTATCACACAAAGGGAAGAAGACATGACCCCCAATTGACAAATTTGTTTAATCACCTCTTTTAACTTTCGCTGCGTTCTAGGATTTTGGAAAACACGAAGCTACGGGTGTCTTTGGGGGCTAACATGCCACCTTTAACCCCTACAATTGTGTAAAGTTTTGACCCCAGATGACAATTTTGAAATAGATGAGTCTTTCTCTTGGGAAAGGGTGAATTGCCGAAATTAAGATTTTAGCTAAACAGAGGCTTATGAAACTCGAGTGGAGTAAACAAAGAATAAAAAGAAACTAATATATTGGTTTTCAGTCCTAGCGCAAGGTCAGTAAACTCCCCATCCCTTTGTGAACATAATATTGAGTGCTAAACAACTTATAAATTAACCACTTGCGCTAAAAAGACGTGCCACGCATGTCGAGATGCTTTTGTCTCAAACCACGAGCGACGTGAACACCACGTCGATAAGGATTTATCGCAAAAATGAAAATAATGTGGTGCACACGTTGCCTAACAACGAGACTTTTTATTTCTCGAGTTACAGCTCTGGAATGCACAGCGTCGCATAGTAATAGATTTATATTATTTTTTATATCAACCCATATTTAAAATGGAGAATAATAGTGAACTCGGTGATATAGTTTTGACAAGTGCAAGGAGAAAGCGATTAGTTAGTACATCCGATACTGATACAGATAGCGACTGTGAGGAAATTATTTGTCCTGTTGGGAAATGGTGTAGAATGATAGTATATTATAGCGCACGGCACCACAACTGTAAAGTTTAGTCGAAGTGCAAGTGGTTAATCATAAAAAAGTTATTACATCATAAACTGTTATAAAGAAATTCTGTCGTCTCACAGAGTAAAAAAGTAGAAGACTGGTGCTTCCATCTAATGCTGTGGTACCCTCAGTGTGGGGCCGGTTTTAAAATTGTATAAATAATCTTCTTTTAATTATCACTTCTGACTGAAACAAAATAAATAGATAAGATTCAGCATGTGTACATCATATATTTGCAGATTTTGAATTTTTTCTTCCCCTCCAATAGAATTTATGAATCTTCAAACATGATACCTTCGAAAGAAGTATATTAATTTCATAACTGAAATATCAAGCATTCATAGTGTGGGGCTGCCATTTAGCGTTGAAAGGAAACACTAGAAACTGACGATTATAGCTTTTGGTGTAGAAAAATTAGCATTTTTTAGGAAGTTAAAAAATTGACAATCAACCAGTATATTTTATATACTGGTGCTCTTTAAAGGGTTAAAAAGCATATTTTTGAGAAATTAATGGGTACTTTTAAATCTGGCCTGGCAGTAAAATCAACAGGCAAATCCTGGGCTAATATTCAAGACACATGGAAAAACTTTTGTCAAAAACCTTGTAAAGAGGCTGTGACAAATTTCAGACTGCAAACAGGATTGCATGGCACATCATCTTAGTAAAATTGGCATCCTTCCATCTAGTATGTGCCAAATTTGTAATTCGGGCATCATAAATGCAGAGCATCTTTATATATGCCCAGAACTAGATAAAGAGTCTCAAAAATGTGGTGAGATAAGTAAACTATATTGGAATGCCAGAGCTTTCATGAACTTCCTTGAAAAGACTTCATATCTTATGTTCCTTTCCTTCTTGTTAACTTTTTACTTTTGTTCCCATGTTCATTTATTCTTACTTTATAAATGTTTTTTTTAATTATTATTTATTATTGCTGTTGGTGATACGTGAGCTGTTTTGTATGTTTGGATTAATCTTTCCAATATAGCCATATGTAACAACATTACTGTTATTACAAGTTCATTTTTTACATGAAGTTTTACGTATCATTAGGGTTCTAACCAGTTAGATTTCATACCAGTATTTATGATGTTAACCAGTATTTGTGTGTGTGCAACTAACCTCTTAACAGAGAAGTTTTAAAAAAAAAAAAAAGGAATATTTCTATTACTATACGAGAAGAGTTAGAGAATATACTATATAAGAAGAGTTCTTTTTTCCTGCCTGCCTTCCGCTTTTTCTCAAGTTTGATATTGAGATTTGAAAATTCTTATAGGTTCATCTTACCGCAGAAAATACATAATCAATTACAGAATTAATATAATATAATAGGCTAATTGAATGTTGTCATTATTTTTAATTGAACAAATTGCATTTTAGGATTAATAAATTTTCAAAATTTCAGGAAAAAACCAGATGAAACTGCTGAAAAAGGTAGTTTAATTGGATGGAATATGAAATCAGTTCTTAATGTGTTATCTAGCAAAGTGATTTCAAATAATGAGATTTCTCTTTTGGGCTGGTGGATGGATCATGCTAAATGGGATACTGATATACGATGCTCCAATCAAAGGTGGACCATGTGTTCAAAAGTAAATTTTACAAACTAATAAAATGCTTAAATATTGACAAAATATCTAGTAATGTTTTAATTTTTGCTGAATCAGTTAAAATAAATTTTATGTATAGTCTGGATAGAAGAACAGTGTAAACTATTTATTGTTTTATAATGTAAATGTATCATTTACAGGGATTTAGTAGTACATGCAAGGTTGATGGAATTCGAGCAATTTATCAATATATAACATTTGCAAAGGAGTCTCATGTTACTGGATTCGATTTATCAGTTACTGCTACAGCAGATCAGTTGGAACCTCAGGTTATTATTTTCTTATAATTTATGTATTTTTAATATTTAAATTAATATAGGGTAACATAATTGCCAATAAATTGTAATATTAATTTTATGAATTCATTGTTTAAAGCTTAATAGTTTGAATTTATGTGATGGGTATATTTTATTTTCTCTTCTGTGTCTTACATGTGAAAGTAACTTTTCTTGTGTAAATTTCCCCACCCCTGTAAATACGCATATACATTCTTTGTCACTAAAACTCAGTAATAAATTATAAAGAAATTTCACTTACCTGTCAGACGCATTCTCGCCTTTTGTCACTTTCTCTAGATTTTATTTGATGACACAATAAATACATTTACAATAAATGGAAGCACATATAAACTTTATTTAGTGTTTCGCATTCGTGTTACATCTTTCTCAGTCATCAAGGTTCTGCACTAGTCCAGGGAATTCAAGCGCACACAACGCCATCTGGTGCAATACAGTTTCTACAGACTGCCCCCCGAATGACCAGGGATTCATTCAAACATTTACATTAATACAAATTTAACAAAAGAAACTCTTACAATGTAAAGTTCAATCAATTCACATATTAAAGAAAACTACACTTAGTTACTATATAAACAAATCATTCATCACATATCTTGAATAGTCCTGTAACAATAATACATATTAATAAACAATTAAATTTATTCATTTATTTCAAGATTATATAAAAGCTGCACAGGTCTTTTAATAACTGATGTATCTGTTTTAATTTCACAATACCTTACTTTTCCATCTCTGCCAGGAAATACTGTTACAACTCTGCCTAATTTCCAAAAGTGCCTAAGTAGCTTTTCATCATGAATTAATACAATATCATTACCTTTAAATTCAGTAATTTTACCTGAAGGTTTAACACAGTGAAAAGATCTCAGCATTAATAGGTATTCATTTTTCCATTTATTCCAAAACATACTTACCAGTCTTTCTCGATAATTAAATCTTTTAATTACCATTTTCCTATTACTTCCTATTACTTTTAATTAGCATTTTCCTAAATTAGAATCAAAATGAAGCCTGGCAGGAGGCAAACTATTTGCCCTGCGCCCTAATAGCATATGAGCTGGAGTTAGAGGCATGAATTAAACATAAGTTAAAGGACGAGAGTTAAAAACGCCTTCAATTTCAATAATTAGAGTTTCTAACGCATCTCGAGATAAAGTAATTTTTCGTAAAGCAAGTTTTACAGATTTAATCTTTCATTTAGCACCCCCACAGCCACCCCACCACGCAGCTTTCTCAGCGATGTAGCACCATTGGATTTTGTGGGAGGCGTAAAAGTCTTTTACTGTTGGATGACTAATGACAGTCCACAAATTTTTAAGTTCAAACTCTGATCGTTTGAAAGTTTTGACATTGTCCCTCAAAACCTGAGAACATAGACCTCAACGAGCAATGAATCATCGAAAAGCAAGAAGAAATGTTTCTGTGGTCATGCTGCCAACAAACTCTAAACAAAATGAAGAGCTCGCGTTACTCCACAAGTGAACAACACGATGTAGTTTTTCTCATCACTGTCTTTGGTATAAAGTTTTCCACTGAAATCTACAGAAAAAGGATGTAATTCTTCTGTTCTGTATACTGGTAAAGGAGCAGTAACTTGCTCACCAGGAGAAGAATTAAATCGTTTACGCAGAATACATTTTCTTATGATATTTTTAACAGTTTGTCTTCCTTTAATTATCCAGTATCTTTCGCGTACATCTATCAAAGTTTCAGAAATTCCACCGTGAAACATTTTGCTGTGTGTATCCCACACTAATAAATTCACAAAGTGATGTTTTGAGGGCATGATAATTGGGTGTCTTTGAAAGTAAGAAAGCCTTGACTTCTGAAGTCTTCCACCAACCTGCATTATCCCGTCATTATTAAAAAAGGGATTTAGTTCTAGAATAGAGGATGTCCTAGAAATTGTTTTACCCTGTCTCAAAGAGGACAGATCTTCTGCAAAAGCTTCACTTTGAGCAGTTTTTGTCCAGATAATTTCAGCCTCGTTAATTCACCACATCATTTAGTTTAAATTTAAAGTTGTGTATAAATCATAGTACCCAACTTGTAACACGGTACAATTTTCTTAAACTACTATATCTATTCAAATCCATTAAAATGTGTCAAATTCAATTGCACTTCGCACACAAAAGACAATACTTCTTCCAGTTTACTTCTTTTTTCTCAATATAATGGGTTGGCAACTAAGTAATTGCGGATTTTTTTTAGAAAATCAAAGACAATTTTTTCATGGAAGTAAATAATTTTATTCTGTAATGTATAGCCCATTTTGATCAATGACCTTTTGCCATCTTCAGGCAGCATCATAATCCCACGTTCATAAAACTTCTGGTTTTTATTAGCAAAAAACTGAATCAGGTACGATTTGACATCATCATCATTATTGAAATTTTTACCATTCAAAGAGTTCTATAAAGATTGAAGCAAAAAGTAATCAGATGGTGCAAGGTCAGGACTATATGGTGGATGTGGCAAAACATCCCGACCAAGCTCCAATAATTTTTGCCGAGTGACCAAAGATGTGTGTGGCCTTGTATTGTCATGATGGAATACAACACTTTTTCGATTTGTCAATTCAGGCCGCTTTTCTTCTACTGCATTGTTGAATTTCGTTAGTTGTTCAATGTAGACATCAGTTTTGATCGTTCGGTTGGGTGGTAAGAGTTCAAAGTAGACAATTCCTTTGTAATACCACCAAACTGATAACAAAACCTTCTTTTGATGAATATCAGCTTTTGATGTTGTTTGAGTTGAGTTGGTTCACCTGGCCTGCTCCACGATCTTTTTTCCGCTTGATATTGTTGTAAAAACAACCCATTTTTCATCGCCAGTTATCAGTCGTTTTAAAAATGGATCATTTTCATTACGTTTCTTTAGTTCTTTCGTTAGGGATCATTTTTTAGCAAATCGCAGCTGTTAATGCGTTGCGTTAAATGCGTTTCCGTTTTTTTCTTTCAGTTCGTGAGGAACCCATGTATCGAGTTTTTGAACATAGCCAAGTTGTTTTAAGAAAGTGATTTTCAATGCATGTATGTGATACATGAAGCTTCTCTGCAATCTCACGTGTTGTACTGTGACGATCCGAATCGATTATTGCTTTGATTAGGTCGTCATCAACTTCAATTGGATGACCAAAGCATTTTTTATCTTTGAGTGAAAAATCACCAGAACGATATTTTGCAAACCAATTTTGACACTGCCGTTCTTTTAAGGCTTCGTCACCATAAACAGCACATAACTTTTTATGAGCTTGCGATGCGTTTTGCCCTTTGCGGAAATAAAAAAGCAAAATATGATGAAAATGTTCCTTTTGATTTTCCATTTTTCAACGAACGCTAAACGAAAACTACGCAATCGATCAAGAAACCTTTTTTACTGATTGACAGCTGAATTGCCAGCTATCAAATAACAAAATGTGTTTTACATTTGTACTACGTCTGTAACCCTAAAAATTCAACTGAAGCCATCTATGAGTGAAATCCGCAATTACTTAGTTGCCAACCCAATACTGCTGGAGAAATCTCTAGACAAATTTAATAATTAGAGCCTTTTGGCTAATCTCTTTTCTTCAACGAAAGCCATTCTGGACCTTGCATCCAAATCGAATTGGACAAACATTTACACGGTAGCTCCTCGAGATATGAAATCTGCAGGATTATCCTGCCCACTACAGTGATTCCAATCAGCAGGATCAGTTCTAGACTGGATTTCGGATACACGGTTCGATACAGAAGGTTTCCATTTTGAAGCTTTCCCTTTAATCCAATGAAGAGCAATTAAGGAATCTGTCCACATATATACCTTAGGCACAAAAAATTTAAAATTTGTTTTCAAATATTGGAAAAGTCTAGAAGCAATAACAGCTCCCATAAGTTCAAGCCTTGGTAATGTCAACCTTTTAAGCGGTGCGATTTTAGATTTTGCAGTGATAAAACTTGTATAAATACAATCATCACTTGACACATAACGGAAGTATGCAACTGCTCCGAAAGCTTTAGGAGAAGTGTCAGAAAATATCGGATTTCTTCAGTTTCGTGAGTTCTAAAAAGCTTTACAAGGGGCGCTCGAAATAAAAGGTGGTGGACAACAATTCATCACTACCAGGATTTGGCGACTGGGCCACCTAATACCTAGTCACCCTAAAAAGAGGGAGTATATAAGACTTTGTTTCCTCACGTGTTTCATGTTTTCTGAATCGATTTAACATAATGATGCTACGATACCGTAACTGATCCTGCTATTCTGTTACTTATATAATCGACACAAAAATAGTAACCAATGACACAAATAACAGGATCATGTTCTGTTATTTAATTAATAATTATTCTTCATTTAATTCATGATTAATTATTATTATTCATTAAAATAATTAAAGATTAAAGTAAAAATGATTAAAATTAAATAAAATGTACAGAGCTAATTTAAAATTTAATAAGCAATTTTTAATAATTTTTTTGCTAAAAATAAAATTTTCGAGGTAGTTCTAATTTTTTCACCAGCTTCCATGATATGGAGAAATATTTTCTTTCGATTGTCAAATCTTTCAACAGATAAATCTGAGAGCACAAATTATCCCATTTTTTCTTCAATTCAGTTGATAGCTCATCATCCCATCCTAAACCAAGTTCCCATATTTCTTGCATTAATAATTTTATGAGAACAATAAAAAATGATGCAATTCCCATAGGATCAAATAACTTCGAAGCTGTCTGAAGTACACTTCGTTTTGAATTCTTCTTATCACAGATCATGTCCAGTAGAGGTTTTGCATCTAACTTAAAAGTATCTTCTTCGGTGTTCCATATTATGCCTAAAGCCTTCAAAGGACGTTCCTTAGTTTCCATCACATCAGACAAACCTCGTTCACTCCATAAATTTCTCAACTCATCTGAATTAATATTAAATTTTCTTACATTCATGTTCGCATCTTTAAGAATTTTTACAGCACTCTGTGAAAGTTCCAAAGT